AATATTATGATATGCAAAATAAGAAATATTACTATTGTAATAACATTTTAATTATTAAAATAAAAATAGAGTATTTAAGAATAAACACAATATAATAGTTAGAAAATAATAATAATAATTTTATTTTACAGGAAATTATTATTTTTACAAAAAACTGCAGATTTACCTGTTAACATATAACTATACCTATATACTATAACTATAACTATACCAGCCTATAACTATACATCATTAGAAAGGTCCAAGTAAAAAAAAAAAAAAAATTATACTATTATGATAAAAAATAAATCTTTGACAGTAATTTCTTCATTTTTGTCCATGTCTTGGAAATATGAGCCTTTTGAAAAAACTGAATAAAAAGAAGATAGAAATGCTTTACCTCATCAAACATGAAGACAATAAACACACAACTACGACAATATACAGTGCCCTCCACTAATATTGGCAGAATTTGGCACCCTTGGTAAATATGGAATAATATGGAAACGTGCAGAGATTGAGCAACATTTACTACTGACGCTTGCATATATTTATTTAAAAATCGCAGCCTTTGCGGTTCAATAATCGCATTAATCCATATCACGATTTTGGTTTTTATTTCGATTAATCGTGGAGCCCTAATTGACATATATTTATATATAATTTTCTTGTGTTTGTATTCTTTAATAATTGCACTGTCCATGGAGCGGACCTGACTTACATTTCACTGCTGGTCATATATTCTCTATATAACCGTGTATGTGACAAATAAAAATCTTGAATCTTGAATCTTGAATATAAACATTAATGAATGCATGAGCACATTAAATAAGGTAAATGGAAGCTTAAAGGTCCCATATTGTCAAAACTGAAATTTCCTGGAAACATAGGCATATGGCAAGAAATTTGTAGACGCGCCCATAACAACAAAAGACAATACTTTATTGAACCTTTTCTGATAAGAAGTGTGTGCTGCAAACTCTAGCATTTTTGACGATCATTTCTGTCGCGTTTTATCGCGTTGAACCACAGCTGTCGTCGGTTTTTTGTCTGGCAGTGGCAGCAGATATACGATCAAATTTCTAATTTGAGGTTGCATTACGTTGATTCTGGCACCCAAGATCACAACAAGATGATATTTTAAGCTCCTTATGTAGCCGAACCTGCGCTGGTTTGAATGGGCCACCTCCAGTTTCCCCTTCATTTTGCTGCCTCCAGCTAGCTCTAGCTAGCGCAGCTA